GTAAACAAAGCTCCATATTTAGACTGAATTAAGTATAGGCTTAAATTTTAAGACAGAATCGTCTTACTGACTAGGGATAGGTCGCATTTCAAACCATCAAATGTGTTGCTAGTGCACTGGGATCCTACTCATGTGAAGGGTGCTATATAAATGCTAGTTGTTGTTGCTATAAGTTACAACTTCAGCTTTTTCCGAGTGGTAATCAGAGTAAGATTCAAATGATATGATTCTAGATTGATACCTGGGCTGAAGGGATTTAGCCATAATGAGAGATTAGGTAGACTGGGATTATGTTCCTAAAAACAGTGGAGGTTAAGGGGTGATTTGATTGACGTATTTAAATAATGAAAGGAATTGACAGGTTTTTTTTGAATGACTCTTTCCCTTTGGTAGAGGAATCCATTACGAGAGGGCACAGCCTTGAAATCAGAACCAAGATGGTTAGAATCGAGGCCAGGAAACATTTCTTCACACAGAGTTTGTAAATCAACAGAATACTCTTCCCAGAAAGCTGTAGAGGTGGAATCAATAGGGATATTTAAATGCAAGGTAGATTGATACCTGGGTAGTAGAGGTATTAAGGTGTATTGTGAAAGGTCAGGGTCTTGGGATTAAAAACAAAACTGTCACGATCTAATAAACTGGTGAATAAACCATGTGGTTTTAATGACCTCTTTCTGTTTCTGTTTCCCTACGTTCCTCTGTGTCATTTGCACTATACGCTACTTTAATGTGAATTGGCACCAGGTGGTTTACAAGCGCTCTATAGGGCACAAAAATAGTAAACAGCAAAAGAAAACACAGCACAAATGAAAAGTGAGTTTACATAATATCATGTGAGTAATTGGGATCCAAAAGACCAAACAAGATTATTGACACGTGTTGTCATGTGCTGGAAACGAGGCCCTTATTGTGTCATGATTAGAAACAGGTTTGTGGCTCAACATTGCAGGATTCAACATTGTTGGTTACACCCAACCTTTGAGAGTTAAATTAACTGGATTCTATCAAAATCCATGCTTTGAACCTTTAATCGATTGACTGCTTTTATGCTGCAGCTGGTCATTGTCTGTGTAGTGTGATATTACTTCCCAAGGAGCATTTAAATTATATTTTCTGAGGCAGAATAGATCATTTATATCAGTATTTCTCAACAAACGGTCTCAACTAAGCTGAGTCCAGAGATTTTAGATTGAGTGACCTTACTGAATCATTTATGAATCCTCCACACATTTTAAGAGGAAACTGAGACAATCCCTGTTATTTTGAGTAGGGTACAGCCAGCTTTTATGCTTACAAAATGCACAGTTACTTCACTTTACAATAAATCCTGTGAATCACTTTAAGACGTCCTGCCAAAGTGAAGGTTGTATATCAAATGCAAGGATTAATATTATTATCGCAATCTTTGCAGAGCATTATTCTTAAATAGACATTTTGTGTAATGGCCACACTGTTTCAGGGAGAACTCTGTGACATAATTCAAGCTCATTTTAATCAATGGGAAAACAGAACTCCAGTCTTCAACTTGGTGAATTACAGGACCAGAGATGCCCAACAATCCTCTTCTATATATCGTGGTGCGCATAACAGTCTTCTCGCTCAGCCCAGACCACACTGAAACTCTGTGATTTACATGTGGTGAAGTGATCTTGGCATCCAGCAGTGAACAACCTAATTTTATGAAATTCAAGGACTTAGTAAATACCTCCAGGCTCATATTCCATTTGTCAGTGACTCACCACAGAAGAGTAGATACCTGAATCTCATCTCGACCACTGTGATCACCTTAAAGCTTTTCCTAGGCCATGTTTCAGCTGTTATGAATAGATATGTTAAGTTAATATTTGGTTATTATTTAATTGCATCATTCAAGTGAATATGTAATAGATTTATTGAACTTCATCCATATCAAATGGAATTTATCACAGATGTGAGATCTTACTGATTGTAGTAAAATAAGTCAAGCAGGGCAGCTCTTAATTAACATTATTGTTGACCTGCTTTTTATTCAAGTAAATACGGATGGAATGTTTATATACCAGACCTGATTGGTGGTTTGGGGGTGAACCAATTCACTGAGACTTTAAGCTATGGACATTTCTTCCAGCGATTGGAAAGAACACAGAAAATCCACTCAGCTCCTCCATTCGATTTTATTACCAGTTAGAAAATATAAGTATCCATATATAATAATATAATAATAATCCTTCCATTTGATTGTCACGTCTCTGAGAGTCTCAAAGTGTTTCACAGGATTTTATTCAATTCACTTTACAGTATATTCTGTGAAGCGCTTTGAGGCCCATTAACGACTTGATAAGGCACGATATCAAATGAAGGGATTATTATCATTGTGATTGTATATCTGTAGGTGAACATAGAGCAACATTCTTGTGCACAAATTACTTTGACTACAAAAATGCACCCTACAGTAAATCCTATGAAGCACTTTGGCACGTATTCCTGATGTGAATGGTGCTAAATCAGATGAAAGCACTATTCGTCTTATGAATATGGAATTGGAAGCTATAATGGGAGAGTTATTGCACTGGAGCGATGAGCTTCATTGGGCTGATTGGTGTCTTCTCACCCCTGATTTTTCTTCGGTTCTTATGAAATGTTATGAACTTTTTAGGAGCATCAGGAGTAATTCAGCTGGTCAAAGAACTCTGGGCAAGGAACCTCCCATTGTCAACTTATTAGAGGTCACTTGGCTTGACGTTAACATTGTTTTACTGTATTGAACAGCTGGAAATCATAATCCTTATACCAGCTGCATCCAACATAGATTTTGGATAAAGAGGAAAATAATGTCAGTTTATTGAAAGAGATTAAACCCATGGACATAAGTAAATATGAATCTGACAGTCATATCATCACATCCTAAGACATTCCGAAAAACAAATTGCTTCATTATTTAATAATCGAGCAAAGTAAATAGTGATGTGCTTGGCTTTCTTCCAAAGAGTGCAGCCTGATGTTTGAATGGAATGGAAAATTTACATGATGCATCTGACCTAATAGTCTATCCAATCGTCTTTCAGGGTTTACAACTGTTGAGACAGTGACATTTCTGAGAGTTGCAAAATGTTGCCAAAAACTTTCTGGCAAGTTTCCTTTAATGTAGTTTAGAAGTGCAGAATAGCCAGTTCTGCAACATTGTGTATTATTTATTTTAGCCTTTATTAAGGTGATAATAGTAGTAAAGTAGACTGGGAAATATTTCACAATATCATTTGGAAATGTCTTAAACTTTAATACCCCCCAGAAAGGAGTAACAATTTGAATTATTTGTTCCTGGTTATTGTTGGCAATGGGCAAGAGTCTGTAGCAGGTAGCATTGCACAACATCAATATTGGCTACAATATTGGCTGACTGTGTGATATGGCGTGACAAAACCTTTGTATTTGATTCATCATAATAATATTAATAATCCTTGCATTTGATATAGCACCTTATCATCATGTCATTGAGACATCTCAAAGAGCTTCACAGAATATACTGTAAAGTGAATGAACTGTATATTTTGTGGTCGAAACGCGGCAGCTAATTGCACACAACAGTATCCCACAAACAATCGTGGATTGTGTGACCCAATTTTTTCCAAAGGGCTTATTGACCTCAGAAAGTGATCAGCCAATTAACTAACATGCCAGGAGTCCAGATAATTGTCCAATTCTCTGTACATGACCAGGAAAATAATGATAAATATGGACAGCTAGTAACTAGAGGATTAATGGCCACCTGAGGATAGAAGAAGCAAAACCCTAAAAAAAAACCTAGACACTCTTATACACACTCTGTGAATATGTTTTCAGCCCTCACTAGATTGAATGTGAAAAGAGTCTAAAAATAATTGCTAATTACATCATGCTCCCCTACAGGAAGGACTGCCACTGGTGGAGGTTACATTTGTACCTTTGAGGACATTGCACATTGCGCACATCGCAATAATTTCATCAGTAATTCCAGAGTATAGCGATGCTGTTTGACATTATTAATAATAACACAGATATGAATCATGTTGGAGGATGCATGAAGGAAGTTGTCAGTGTTTTTAGTCAATTTTGCCATATAAATGTTTTGCTTTCACTCAGAACCACAAAAACTGAGGCCAGAAATGTCTCATTGACTTAGCCTTAAAACTATTGTCTAATATGTTTAAGCTTATTTTGGAAAAATAGGACCTCTGTCCAGGATGTAGATTGTATTGTAGTGGAATTCTTGTTGATTGCCGTGATGTATATTCGCTTACTGGAAGCATTCCCGTTTGCTTAACTCTAACTTGTTTCTTATTAAGGAATCTCATTAAGAGATATCCCAAATTTGACCCCATAATAATAATAATAATCATAATCCTTGCATTTGATATATCGCTTTTCACGTCTTCTCGACGTCTCAAAGCGCTTCACAGAATATACTGTAAAGTGAATTGACTGCATATTTGTGGGTGAACGCGGCAGCCAATTGCGCACAGCAGTGTCCCACAAACAGTCGTAGATTGAAAATGACCAATTTATTATTGTTTTTTGGTTTTTTTTTGGAGGGATTATTATTAGGCGTGTGGAGTAAGGAAACTTGCCCAATGTTTCGCCCTGCCTGGAATTGAACTCATAGTAATCGACAGCCCATATAGTGGTTAAGCAATTCACATGCCAAGCCATCCCACTGCTCTCAATGATAAGCTATGTGGTTTTAGCTGCTTAAACTACAGCACTGCCCCAACACACATTTCGGTCCCCAAGCCCCATCCGATATTCTCCAGAAATAGCTAAGTCCCTCTGGGGAGAAAGTACACATTCCATTCCAGACGCAGGGAAATTCCCACGTGCAGGTTGCTTACATATGTGGAACTTTCAATCTGGTTTGGATACTCTTCAGCATGTTGATGAGTTCCCACCAAAAAAACATCATCCTGCTGCCCTGTTTTCAAATCTCGCCACGCACAAATTGTTTCCAGTATGCTGTGTAATCAGTGCTATTGTTTCTTCATCAGGGTCATTTGAGCAGTGAGCTGGAACAACAGTTGCGATCAGTCTCCAGTGTGGATGAACTCATGACGATATTGTATCCGGAACACTGGAAAATGTTAAAATGCCATTCGATGAAAGGCAGCCGAGCGCATGATCACTTCAGAGAAGTTGGCTTGGACACAGCCACTGAGGAGCCTGTGACTTTCGCAGCGATATATTCTAACCCCGAGATTCTAAGAAGTAAGTTGTAACTTTGAAGAATTACATTCTTGCCATTTTGAAGGAGAAAAAAANTGAGCGGATTGTCAAATGTTATTACTTCTCAATGTTTAATTTCAAAAAGCATCTAGATAATTCAATAAAATTTAAATAAAGAAATGTCCGGCTACAGGAAGAGCTTACAGGAATTTATTGCAAGGATCGTCAAATTCTAAATGGGAATGTCTGCCTGTCCCTTCCTGAACTTATTCCCTCAATCTGGAATTCAACAAGGGATGCTAACTGGAATTTTACAACTTCTATTCATTTCAATCTTATTTTGTCTTTGTGAGGCTCATTGCTCCACATAGACTGCAATCACTGTCTTACACTCTGCAATAAGTGGCATTATTAGTGACTTAGCAGTAATTTCATTTAAAATTGGAACACAAAGTTTCTAGTAACATCTACAAAAGTAGACTCAAATCCTCTGATATTGAGCTGCATTAACTGGAGCTCCCCTTTTAAGTTGCTGGCTCTCAGCACATCAGCACCATAGCCATAATGTCCTTGTATTTGCACAAAGCTATGTTTCCAGGAATGTCAGGCAATGTGCAACTGATGATGTCAGTGGCTTAGCACATGTGTAAAAGTTTGAATTTTGAAGGAGTTTTATTATATGGATGCCAGGTGCTACTGTGCTTTACACTCAGAAAGAAAGAATTGACATTTTTGAAACATCTTATCTCAAAACACTTACTGTCTAGGGTAATGGCGATCTTTCTAGACAAAGTAGCTAAGTGCATCCCACAAACAGCCACGTGGTGAATGACCCACTAATCTGGAAGTCCAATCAAAGACACTCATGGGCAGGGGGGTGTTGTTGAAGAAGAGAAGTAGTTGTGAATTGTGTCCCTCTTCAATTTATTTTTGGGAAAAACCTTTTTGCTAGAAATATGGGTATACTTAATGCTTAGATTAATTCAGGAAAATAATTAGCAGAGTTTACGTTAGCATTAGGGGATAGGAGTTCCCCGTGTCTGAGGTCTGATTGAAACTTCAAATGCCATTGCACAATAGTGGAGATATCCGAAACAGTTTACAAAGATAGGTAGGTTTACCAAAGGTGGTGCACACACCCAAATCAGCACAAGCCATGGGCATAGCCACCGAGAAAGTTTCAAAGGAGAACGTGAGGTGTACACATGAGTTCTTACCTTGCAGAATAAGTCAGAATTGGTTCGATTTGAGGGATCCACAAAAGGACTCTCAAACATCAAAGCCTATATATTACCAGGATGTGTCTCAACAGGTCTCCATTTAGATATTGATCTCCCAATAAGCTTCCTTTGGCTGTGATCCAGCTCCATTATTTTTGGTCAACTGGGCATCTGACACACACAGAAACCATGTACTGTAAGAATTTCGAAACCAAACTACTTAGAGTTGTACAAACGTATGGAAATTTCCATTTTGTCTGGTGTAAAGTCCGCATTCTCTCCCCAAAGAAACCCACAGATGGATATGAGATTGGTTTCCGAGCATGTTGGGTGAAGTCACAACTGGGTACTTGCAGGAGTCACTATTTGTAAGTCTCACAAATTATACCCAATTGGAGATAATAGGTGAAAAAAGGTGGACAAATAACATATTATAATAATAATCCTTCATATAGCACCTATTATGTCTTTGAGATATCACCAAGCGCTCCACAGGATATTTACTTTACATTGTGGTGACTGTGTACTTGTGGGCAAATGCAGCAGCCAAGTTTGTGCCAAGGAATGTCCCTCAAGCTAATATTCATCCAAATCACATAAGCTCTAAACCCAGGTGCGATTTATATAATAGAATCTTGATTAATCTTTTGCTGTGTAGCTAATAGTGTGACTTATTCCTATTAAGAAGGATTTTGCAGGTTGGAGAGTCATTTTTTTAATTAGTTTGTGAATTTGCAATGCTGCAATTTTAGCTAAACTGTTCTTTAATTTTCCTGCTAAGATGTGACAGCCATAGGGACATCCCTTCTAAATCTAATAATAATAATTCTTGCATTTGACATAGTGCCTTATCACATCGTCCAGACGTCTTAACACATCATAGGATATTGCAAAAATGATTTTTCTTGAAGATCTGACAAATGAAGTCTTTTCAACACTGTGGATCTTTCCGTGAAGAGTGAGCACTACTACCAGACAAACGGAACTCTCCATATATATATATACACATATATATATGGAACTCTTGGTAGTTCGGTTTGGAAATTCTTAAGCAAGGTGTTGAATCTTTATTTGTATCATGATGTGATTGAATGAAAAAAATTGTAGGTCCACTAAAGCGTTGTGACCCCCTTACAACAACAACAACAACAGCAAAATTACATTTATAGAGTGCCTTTCACGTCGCGAGGATGTCCCAAAGTGCTGAACAGTCGGGTGTCGGGGCCTGATCATGGGGGAGGGATGGTGTAGGGATGAGGGAAGGCAGAGAGGTGGGAGGGCGACCAAAGGCACGATCGAAGAGAAGGTTCTTGAGACCAGCCTTGAAGGAGGCAAGGGAGGAAGTGAGGCAAAGGGACCATGGGATGGAGCTCCAGAGTGTGGGGGTAGAGAGGCTGAAAGCCTAGCCATCGATGGTAGGGCTGGTTGGGTGGGAGACATGGAGCAGACCGGAGCTCGCTGAACTGAGTGAGCGGGCAGGTTGTTAGGGAGTCAGCAGGTCAGAGAGGTAGGAGGGGGCAAGGCCATGGATGGCCTTGAAACTGAGGATGAGGATCTTGAATTCGATCCTCTGGGGGATGGGGAGACAGTGGAGTCGGGCAAGGGTGGGAGTGATGGGGTCACGGAGCCTGGTGCGTGAGAGTACACGAGTTTTCGGATGATCTGCAGCTTGTGAAGGGAAGAGTTGGGAAGGCCAATGAGGAGGGAGTTCCTGTAGTCGAGCCTTGATGTGACTTAGTCTCCCTTAGTCAGACCTCTTATCATTCATAACCTGAACTTTTCTATCCATTCCAACCTGTTAATAATCTAGCAATGCTGCATCTATTTATTTATATTTCCATCTACAGCAGGTCATCTAGTTGTGACAGCTATTAATATATGTACTTGACAAGCAATTGCTACAGAACAAATTAGGACATTGTAGCCATTGCTCTTTCCAAGTATGCAAAATACCATTCAGGATATAAGCAGAAACTGAACAGATAAAATATAACAGTTAAATATTATGTGTTAAATATAACATATCAAATATTGGTGGTTATCATTACAATTCCTCAACTCCGGCAAAGCCTATATTAATCCTAAACCAGCCGAGAGTGGCAGCTACAATAACCTTCATTCTTGAATATTTTGTTATTATACTGCTATTTGCTGGAATAATATCAGATATAATAAATACGATCTCCAGGTTCAAATTTCACAAATTGCTTTCTTTCTACATTGTTCAGCTATAAATAACTATTGAAAATAGTGATCTTGGTTTAGATACAACTGTATGCATGCAGTGTGATCGAAAATACAATATTTGCAGCCAGATTGAGTTGAGCTAATTGCAAACTTACAGTTTGTGATTTCTGATTTTGAGATTCAAAATTCGTTCGAATTCTGAAAGTTGGCAAAGGCACTTTGCTTTCATTTTTTTCAGCCACTTAATAGTATGGGAAGTTCAACACAAGGCCATACAAGCTTCTAAAAGTCTGTGTTTTATTATTGAATCTGAATATAATTGTGAATCGCGAAGTAGATTGTTGGCATAAACGCAATGAACCCGGCGTGCGAATAGACAAATCAGCAATTGTAAAGGCATATATTTGTGGAGTTTATATTTCAAATCTTCCCTCAAACTTCACTTTCCATCTTTGCCCACCTCCATCTCAGGGCAAACTGGTGCCTTGAGGAGTCCTCCGGACATGCAAGATGCTATATAAAAGTAAATTTATGTTATATTGTAAACCCAAAAAAGGAAAAATATAACCTTAATATTCTAATTACGAATAAACAAATTATCTGTATTGTTTTGCTGGCTAACTGTTGCTATGGTGAAGTGTGCACGGTCTGAGATGTGATATAATTACAGCCATGCTTGGAAGACTATGATTGACCCAGGAAGAACAAGAGGAAGAAAAGAGAGTTAATTTTTGCTATAAGGATCTCCAGCTATAGGTAGAGAGTATTTTAGAATCTGGCCAAAATAACTGCCTGTTTCTGTGGCTCCTCTTATTGCCAGATATCCAGAACCAATCCTTTATTTCAAAATTTAAGAAATGTTCAGACTTGCTATTTCAATAATACATACCATCTAAGCAGATTATCACCAGAGAGCAATGGACATAATTTTACTACAGTTCATCAAAGAAAAAGCACACCAAGTGGAATGATTATTCACTTATTATAGGAAATTGTAGTTGCTATTCTGTTATTCTGCATTATTGACTGATACTATACTGATAATTGCAATTGGTACATCTGAATATTTTATTAGATTAGCTAGTAAAACCTGATTCTTACATCATATTGACACCCAATTATTTTATGGGGGTCTGTAACATTATTACAAACAAAACCACTGGAAACAAAGGAGGTTCAAAGGCATTATGAAAGAGTTTGACTGCTGTCCTGTGAAGTGACACTGAAATACCTTACTCTGCAGGCAGCGAAAACAATCATGTCAAACCATTGTACCAAAGTCAGGGAATGTATACACCTGAGAAAAGAAAATTAATTAACAGCAGCTTTAAACTGCGCTTTCCAGCAAAGTGACAATTATAACAAAGTGAATTATCTTATAAGAAGCCTGAATTTTCTCAGCGTCTTACGCCATCAGAAACATTTTGTTTAGAAAATTTTAGGATTGTGCCAATTGTGGAAAATTCTTAAGTTCAGTCTCGATTTGTAAAGTAGTTCTTTTTAAGAAGTGCAAAACCTTGGCATCTAAATTAAGACTGAGTTTCAGAATTTTCCACAACTCTGGCAATCTTAAATGTTAAAGCAAAATGGTTTTACAGTCTTAGACAAGATGGACTTGTCGCACCTTTTACTCTGGTATCTTACTTCGAACTACCCTCTGTTGCACGGTAAAGTGAAGGTCACTGATTATTATCAATAAATTGCATCATTCTGAAAGTGTGTGGAAAAGCAATTTGCAATATAGAATGAGTCCTGTAGCATATTGGTTAGAGCACTCGCTTCACAAAGGAGAGAACCCGGGTTCGAATCCCAGCAGGGTGAAACCTTGGGCAGTTTTCCTTCCTCCACATGATTCTGTTTACCTGGCAGTAAGTAGGAACCCGGTTGTTAGTCGATTGGCAGAACTCTTTTTGGGGGTAATAATCCCTTAAAAAAAATGTAATCACAGAATTCACGACTGCTTGTGAGACATTGCCATGGTTTGCCCAAAAATGCGGAGTCAGCTTCCTTTACAATATGTATTCTGTGAATCGCTTTGAGACATCTCAACAATGTGATAAAGTGCTATATCAAATTTTAGGATTATTATTAAAATAATTGCTGATGTCTTTCTTATAAATCTACTGTGGTGAGAGCTTGTATTTTAAAGGAGATTCACTGTATTGGCTTTTCATCTATTTCTAACCCTAGTCATGTTTAACTATTGTTCTGTAATATTTGAATCTGCCCAATCAGGTATTGACATTGAGTGGAAAAAGACTCAGTGCATGCCCAGGGAGGTGTGTTTGGACGTGGGGAAAGAATTTGGGTCACCGACAAACACCATCTTTAAACCGTCCTGCGTGTCTATCTACAGATGTGGTGGCTGTTGCAACAGCGAGGGACTAATATGTACGAACACCAGTACTTCGCATGTTCCCAAATCAGTAGGTATTCTTTTTGACTTTATTTCACAAGACAGTGTAAAATTTGCACAGGACTGTCAATGTGGACCTTGTGGAGTTAATGAATGAGTGCAAAAAGTGAAATATTATATGCCATGCTAAAAGCCTAGTGAGATGCCATAGGCCTTTTTCCAGTGTTCAAAATGTAATGATAGCAAAGTAAAAACTTAATTTGAGCTTATTAATGGGTAAGCTATAGATCAGGGTTAGTTTACTCAGTAAATTCCATCATTTTAGACTGTTTTAAGACCACTACCAATTTATGGCTGTCAAGTGTTGACGCAAGTGTAAAAATCGTATGGTGGATTTGGACAACAGGTACAAGGGCAAATATATTCCTTTAACTTAACCATTCTCTTTTCAGCCATATATCTATTGGCCTTGATCAAAGTGAGTTCCATGTGCAGGTGACTACCTCTTGTCGCATCTTCTTTTACACAGAAATCATTGTGCTCAGAGAGTCACATTCCACACTTTGCAACTGGTGTGCCCTTGGGAGGGTGTGTAATGAAGGTATAGACATGCAGTTGGCTTAGAAAAGAGGCATTTCTTAAGCTTAATAGAAAACACCTTACATACACTCACGCAATACAGGTAAATGTACTTCACATGTATGTTTACAAATATATTTACTTAAGAAACATTTACATAACAAACTTTTACAACAACAGCAAATTACATTTGTATAACGCCTTTCATTCTACTAACATTCCGTGCAAAACTTTGCACATTATCTTCATTTTTCTTTCGTGAGACGTGCCAGACTAGCCCCTGCTCTCCATCCAGTTGGAAGCCGCTTGTCCTTTGCTATGACTTGTTTTGCTGGAGCTGCTTGTCATTGGCTGGTTTTGGTTTCTTCTGCCTGCCTGGAGCAGTTATTCCAAATGGTAGAGCTGATCATGATTGACAACTCCCCTCTCTGTGCAATATTCCTGGGGTTTCCATGATGGTAAATTCCGGTTTTCACCTGTGTTATGCCCTATTTTGGCAGATAAAGTACACACAACCATCAAACAACACTTACATACGCTGCTTTTCGTCTTTACCATTTTACCAACAAATACACAAAAGGTCACAGTGCACAAGCATAAGCTGTGTGAATATGAGTATTAAGATCCCAAACCCAGCGACAGTGTCTGTTATTCATTTTTTGTTTACTAATCAAAAATGTAATTTAGCTACATCTAGATTGCCAATTCACCACATGTGGATAGTGGTTAGCATACTGGACAACCCAGCTATAGAAGCTTTCCATGTGTCTGCCAAGTGTGGCGTCTCTCAGGGCTCTGTCCTCAGTCCCCTCCTCTTCAATCTATACATGCTCCCGCTTGATGATGTCACCCGTAGGCATGAGGTCAATTTCCACTTGTATGCGGATCTCGCCGCCTCCATCCTTGACTCCAGGACCGTTGATGTCCTGGCTAATTGTCTGTCTGACATCAAGTCCTAGACGAGAGCCAACTTCCTCCAGCTCAATGTTGACAAGACAGAGGCCCTCCTCCTTGGCTCCCGGCAGCACCTCCTCACCTCAGCCATTGACACTATCACCATTCATGGCAGCACTCTTCACCTCACCGAAACCTTGGTGTCCTTTTCGACCCTCAGCTATCCTTCAAAACCCCACGTTCGTGCCGTGACCCATTGCACCTTTCCACACACCTCCACAACATTGTCTGCCTCCACTACTGCCTCTCACTGCAGTCCGCCGAGACCCTGATCCACGCTTTCATTACATCCCGGCTTGACTGCGCCAACTGCCTGCTCACTCGACTTTCCAACTCTTTCCTCCACCAGCTGCAGATTATTCAGAACTCTGCAGCTCGTGTCCTCTCCCACAGCAGGCTTCACCGCATCACCTCTGTTCTTGCCCGGCTTCACTGGCTCCCCATTCCTCAGAGAATCGAGTACAAAACCCTCATTGTTACCTTCAAAGCCCTCCATGGTCTTGCTTCCCCCTAGCTCTCCAACCTCATAACCCCATATCAACCTGTCCACTCCCTCCGCTCAGGGGACACCATCCTGCCTGCACTTCCCGCCTCACCAATGTGTGGTTGAGCATTCATCATCTCTGCCCCACACTCTGGAACTCTAGCCCGCATTCGCTCCACCTTATCCTCTCTCTTTACTCCTTCAAGTCCCGTCTGAAGACCTTCCTCTTTGATCGTGCCTTCAGATACCCTCCCATCCCTAACCCGCCTGCCCTCCTCCCCTTCTGACCCCAACTGCCAGCTCGGATCCAAAATCTCTGGTTGTCCAGCACCCTGGAACATCTTTCCAACGTGAAGGGCACTATACAAGTGTAATTTGTTGTTGTTTAACATTGAGAGGACACCTCAAAGTTCTTCACACAATATACTGTAAAGTGACTAGGTACTTTGAAAATTTTGTTTTTCTGTTTTCCTTTCTGTTGTTTTTTACTGATGGAAACACTGATCCAGCCAGTGACATCCATTGAAATTTGTTGAAATTCAGTTCTCAGAAGTATAGCCTGTCTCCACTTGCTTATTGTCTGAAAGGAAACTCATGTCACACTTAAAATCACAATGGGCTCAATTCATGAACACCAACACATCCTGAATATATCAGAATGTGATTAACAATGAAACTGCAAAGTCCTGTAAAGCACAAGTTATGCAGTGGAATGTTAGGGTTGGTGGTTTGTGAAGGAATGGAGTTTACCAAAAACAGAGCATAGTTTGTAGAAACCACTCTGGACCTTCAACCTATTTCTGACAAAGGCACAACCTAATTGTATACAATTGTACATTTTTAAATGGATCTGAAAATATCTTCATTTATTGGCACATTTGAGAAACCATGCTGTTGAAAATTATTGTCTGTGATAAATTGGAAAGAAAAATTAAAACAGTCTGTTATCAACATCAGCCTCATTGTTATAGTGGAATGCTCTTAAAATAAACTCATGTTTGATAATCACAGAAATGTAGGCAATAATTTACTTGAGTACAAAGTAGAAGATCAGTAGACAGTTAAAATATAAAACTAACACACACTGTGCACATACTTGTCTTCATATTTATTCTTGTGTATCATTTTAGGGCATCGGGCCTTGAACTCATATAATCCAGGCTGACACTGCAATGCAGTGCTGGGGGTTGCTGCATTATTGGAGGCACCATCTGCATGTTCAGGTGGACATGAAAGATCTCATTGCACTATTCAAAAAGAGAAGGGAGTTTCTCCTGTTGTCCTGGTGAACAATCCCCAAGATAAAATGGTTACACGCTGCATGGTTGTTCATGGTCATTGCTGTGCGCAAATGGGCTGTTGCATTCACCTAGAAATAGAAAGTCAAGACACGATAAAGCAAACAGCATATTGCCCTTTGAGAGGTCCTCCCGACATGAATGGTGCTATACCAAATGCAAGGATTATTAATTATTATTACCAAATACCGGCACTGTACTTTACAGCATCTTCTAATGTGTTTTGAGATCTTGTCCCGATGTGAAAAAAGCTACATTAAATGTAAGGGTTATTAATTAAAATAAAGCTCATGATTTTAAAGCTAAAGAAGTGGCTGCAACAGGAGTTCTTCAGAGAGAAGCAGGAGATAACAGCACAAGCACATAAATGTATAACAAACTGGTCTTAAACAGTATTCTGATCAGGAAATGAACTATCAGCAAAATGTTTAAAGGAAGAGATGAGGGCAAAGCACTCCCCCATTCAGTTTCCTGAAAAAAATGTTCTAAATTTTACTAATTGGTTTGCGTTCATTCAATCCAACTGAACTGCCTAATCCTATACCCCTTCAAGCCTCAACCCTTGATGTACCTGTCTACATCCCTCCTGAAACACACAACGGACTCTACCGCTACCTTACTTGGCAGGGCAATCAACATCCCAACAACTCAATGAGTGAAAAAAATGTACCTAAGTGTTGTCAATAGTTACCTGATGACCTAGAACTGGCAACCATTTCTTTTTGCATATCTGTTATAACGGAATTGAATTTTTTGGACCTGCAACCCATTATGGCCTGACCCTGTATTTGTAGACAAATGCAGCAGCCAGTTTTCCCAAAGCGATGTCCCAGAAACAACAGGCAGTAAATGATCGATTCATCTGGAGGACTGTTAGCCAGGACAGCAGGAGAAACATTTATTTGGTCAGTCGGGTTCTGACACATGAGGAAACCCATCACCATGCTCAAGAGTATCCAAACCAAACTGAGAATTCTACCTACACATGCAAAACCCAGAGACAGACCGTTAGAATGGAATGCACACTCTCTTCCTGGAGGGACACATCCTGCTTACCTAATTCTAGAAAGTATTAGATGCAGGTTGGCAACAGCCAAGACTTGGGGACACCAGAGTGTATGTTGAAGTCTAACCAGCTAAAACCACATAGCTTGCCATTGATATGACTGTCTGGCAAGCTTTCCCACTGCTTGTTCAGCTACGAACACCCTAATGATTAAGGCTTTGGCTTGCAGGGTTAACATGTGTTAACTGGAAGGATTCCCTGTCCCCATTGACTGATCTGCTCTTGCAAGTCCTGCTGATGAGCCTGGCTGGCTGTGCTGCCATCAGGAGTGCCGTGGAATGTTGCGGACCCGCCTGGCTCAGGAACCGGACTACTGAGACTACCACAGAGGGCTGGCTCAATTCCGATATTCTGTTGCAAAACATGTCACCTTGGAGCCAATTCAGCTCCGACATGATCCCCCTCCCCCCAGGAGGAGGATATCTGAGAATTCCATGCATGCTACTTGTACATGGAAATTCCAGAGTTCGATTGACCGGCTGTAATCTAACCAAGTAAAACTGACATTGTACAAATGCGGGTTTAAGCCATCATTAGGTGGATGGCAGGTAACAGGAACTCCTATGAACCTCCCGGTGGGCAACACAGCTTAGCATGAAATGTGTGAGAGCATGAGAAAGTCAGATGGTTTTTCACAAAGGTCGGCACCTCTAGATTGTGAGCTAGTGTTTCCAACACTACGTTGTGATGTTAGCCTAGATTGTGAGTTCAAAGTGCCCTACATAAGGCTTGAAACCACAACCTTCTGTCCCAGAGCCAAGCATGCCTTTAGCTGAGGCGAGTTGACAACGTGGATTTCCAAATATAATAATATATAATAATAATAATTGTTATTATTATAAATATGTGCAAAATAGTAAATCTACAACATTTGAATACATTTCACTCAGGGGTTTTGGAGCAAATCTTTGTTGTTTAAAAATTCTTCTGAATGGCATCCTTCCTTTGATATACATGCATAGCTGTGAGAAGGAAATACAGTGTATCCTAGTGACTAAGATAATCTGCAGAGTAAATTCTAAATGTATTGAATTTTAAACAAGGGTTATTTGCCAGTTTGAAAGAATCAAGAGGAAGGATGGTTGGCACATCTTTATTTTCCTGTTGCTTTTCCAGTCTTATTTGTATTCTCACTCATTTCTCTCTTGTTTCCCAGCTGTTTGAGATTGTGATGCCACTGTCACAAGGAGCCAAACCCGTAACCATCAGCGTCGCAAATCACACAAGCTGCAGATGTATGTCAAAACTGGATCATTTCAGGCAGATCCACTCCATCATCAGACGTTCTCTACCTACGTCCCATTCAGAGTAAGTGTCACTTTAGCTGTGGCTATTGGTGCTTGCTGTATATACCTTAAGACAAGTACATCTTGTGGTTTGTGGGGACATGGTGTGGTGGGTGGAGAGGGGGACAGGGATGGGTTGTTGCTTGTAGCCAGCATTGATTGGACTTTGCAGCAAAGCATAAAGTGACTTGTCATTTCGGTTAGCAAAGCGACCTCTATAATCTCATCTCCACAGCCAATGCTGAGAAACCTCTGCGAGTTAAAATTTAGGGAGGAGCTTATCCACAAGAATTCTAAGCTGAAATCCACGTGACTCCATCTTGTAGAAGTGGGCAGACGACTGCTATGCTTTGCCAGTGTCCCTTTTAAGCAGCCACCATAAGGTGGCTAAATATATATGATACAGCGATTTTCATGTCGGTAGGACGTCTCAAAGCACTTCACAGAATACCCTGCAAAGTGCAGCTAGCGACTTTATATTTTGTGCCTCTCTGTGTGTGTGTGTGTGTGTTTGTTTGGGTCTCTTTCTGTCTGTGTGCGGTACCAGGCTCTGAGAAGCAGGAGGTGAGCTCCTGTAGCCTCGCAGTCAGGACAACTCATGAGCTGGTGTTCCCTGTCCCCCAATCCCCAAAATGGGCCACCCCGTTTTTGTTAAAGAAGAAATTGATTTTAAAAAATTGGAACAATATAGTATTTCCTCATGTTTAGTTTTTATCAATAAAGTGAAAAAAATATAGGTTGGCAGTAAAATGTACCTCAATAGCACCAACCAACTTCCCTCCATTTTCTGCAAAATTGCAAATCTCCCTGCAATTTTCGGCAAAGATGTCCGCACTTTTCTATTGGCCCAGCTTATGACTCAAAGATGAGAGTGCTGCTTACTGAGCAAGCACAAGATCCGTGCTTTTAGTGTTTCAATAATTATTAAAAACAAATTCCATGGAAGTCTTTTGCCAGAAGATAATGGCTATATAATTGTATGTGTGAAGTTGACACTCAGGCTGGCACTAGAGATCCCTGTAGAGCTCTACCCTATCATGAGCACATACAAGGAGGCAGGGTAGAAATTAAAAGGAGGAAAAATATCCAAGAAAAAGCCGTAACGTGTGGTGTTATAATTATACCCAATTATACTATTCACTCTGCTAAATATTGGGATGTAACCGTTATTAGAATGTATATCAGAAGATCACCAGATTGGTTCAGATAAAGAAAGCCCTTCAGCCCATTTGATCTCATCCTTCCAGAATATCCACCCTGCTGTCTTCCCAGCACAACATCAAGCTGTTGTGTTCTAAATGATCCAGTCTCCTAATCTCTACCACCCTCCCTGGCAACCTGTTTCGCTCATTAATTACCTACTGTGTAAAGAAATACTTTGGCATCTGATTTCATAGTTACCCCAACTTTGGTATTATCTGAAAGTGCAACCACTTTACACTGGGTTTGTGAATCAAGGTCATTAATATATACAAGGAACAGGAGAGGTCCCAGTACGGACACCTGAGGGCACCCTGCTTAGCACCTGAAATTGCCCTTTGAAAGCCTGATCCTCTTGCTCTACTGTCCACAACAACAATTTACATTTATATAATGCCATTCACTTCGGGAGGACATCCCAAGGCTCTGTCTTGGTGCATCCAAAATTATTGTTTTGTTTACATTTTTAATCCCATTTAGAATTTTATATTACCTCTATAAGGTTCTCTGTGAAGCAATCTCATTTCAAGATTGAACACCACTAGCTTGTCTGATTTTTGCTCATGGTTCATTGCTCAAACACATACTTCTCATGCTGGTGGCTGCTGGCTACAGGCCTGAGAACTGTGATAAATTTAAGGGTGGGGGAAGAGGTAGTAGTTCGATAATCATAGACTGGCCTCAATTATAGCTTTCCATAACATGGTATCACACATCTCAATGTTTAACCTAGAAACAACTATATTTCAAATGTACTAATTTTTTTTATTGGAGTTGACAACGTCAACTTGCATTTATATAGTGCCCTTTAGGATAACGACTTGGAGTGCTTAACAAAGCTGAGCTTGACCCAATCCACGGAGAAAAGCGACCATATGTACAGTTGAAGAGGAAGGTTTTCAGGTATGATCTGAAGACAGATAAGGAGGGGGAAAGGTGCAGGAATTGAGGCAGAGAGTTCCAGAGTTTGTAGTGGCTGAAAGCAGGGGTACCAATGGTGGAGAGGAAGGGCTGAGCAACATGTAGGAGGCTGGAACTAGCTGATCGAAGGAGGTGGGTAGAAGAGTGGAGTGTAAGCAGAACCTTGGAATTGTAGAGCATTATCATTTTAATAGGACAGAAACATCTGGAGTGCAAAGTACAGTGTTGTCGGCGTTACAAAAACAAATCTGTCAGGTTTTAGAGAGCTGCATTTCAAACCAATTCCTGGGCTGAGCCAAATATCATATGCAAGTTTTTACATCCCATTAAAGGCAGCTAGACCAAATTAATTCTTGTGTTTTACAAGGTGATTGCCGTAACTTGACGCTAGTAAAATAAAGCAGCTCCAATTGCATTCATTCATCACAACTCTGACCAGGCACAATTTATGACTTTGGTTTCTCCAAGAGGAAGGACTATTAATTGCTGGTTAAGATTAAGATATGTATGGTCAAGATTTTCAGCAGCTAGATTCCTGAAGAATGTTTATGATACAAAAATACAAGGACTTGCAAGAAGCAGCTTAAATAGCTTCCTGCCAAAGACGTTATGCTTAGTTAAGTGTTAGTATGTCAGCGTGCTGTGTTGTGCGGCATAATTCCTCTTGCCAATTTGTTTGTGGGAAAAAGTTGCCAAAATGTCATGTAGCTGGAGAGCTAAGGAAGTGCAGTTCATGAAAGAAAAACAAAAAAAAAGGGCTGCATTGTTTTCTAGATTAGTGAGGCGTTGTTCTTTTTGTGGTACCAGTCTGGATTCTGCATACAAACTCCCAGTGGACTGTAACTCATCTCTAGGTTTCCTGTGCAAGTTGTCACAAACTTGTAGCTGACTTGCATTGCTGCCAAAACATTAAGAGTAGAATGTACACCAACTATAATGAAACCGCTCTGCTCTCTTGATCTACAGTCTGACTGGAATCATAGTGTTAGCTTAGATGTGCTGCATTGCACAAGCTAACAACAAAAGCTTGGAATGAGAAAAGGCCATTTGGCCCATCAATCCTGTTCCTTCCACAGACACTGAAAATCCTTGTGGGGTCCACCCCATATCCCCACTCTTCCAATTCTTTATTGAAACTTAGAAAACACATTTTTTCACAGAAACAGTTGATTTGGCCCAGAGATCTCTCTGATCCACAAGATAATGATTCACAAATATTCATTTTAGTCTACTGTTCAAGTTTAGCCTGCTACTCTCCACAAAGAATATTTCCCTTTCTCAGCCCAGAAGCACAGAAACCACTGGATCCAGTTTAGTATGCGTTTGTCTCAGTTTACACCGATCCCTATATCCTACAAGTTATTTCCCAATCAGATACTTACCAGTATCTGGCAACTGGGGTAAATTAAAATATAATCTGTATTTTTTGACTTGATGTACTAATTGTGATGTCTGTTTATGAATGTAAAAAGATATCTAATATGTGATGTTCACAAGGTTTCTAAAAGTTAGCAAAATGCAGCAACAACAACAACTTGCATTTATATAACATCCTTCATGCAGGGTAGCATCTCAGGGCTTAACAGTGGCAGAGCTTAACGCCAAGTCAGGGAGGCCAGAGCCAACTCAGCAAAATGAAAGAAAAGACAAAAGAGGAATACTCAATTCCAACACCAAACCCCAAATGTTCTGCAAGTTGACTTTTTTTCCTTCCCATTCCAAATGTATGCCTCCTTTCCTGAAGATGAATATGAAAGTATGAAAAACAAGTAGAAGATTTTGCCTACTTTATAATATATCCAGTGAGACGTTTCGATGGCATAATAAGGCATTGTATCAACTGCAAGCATTATTATTATTATTTATTATTGTTGAGAATGGGATTGGATAGTTCACATATAGAAAAACACAAACTCAAACTTGATTGGCTGAATGGTCTGTATCTATTTTGACTCACATTGGAAAGGAGTCCTGTAGCTCAGTGGTTAGAGCACTCGCTTTGCAAGTGAGAGGCCTGAGTTCAATTCCAGGCAGAGGGCGAAGCCTTGGGCAAGTTTCCTTACTCCACACAGAGCCTAATAATATTCCCTCCAAAAAAATGCAATAATAAATTGGTCATTTTCAATCCATGACTGGGACATTGCTGTGCACTATTTGGCTGCCGCGTTCACCCACAAATATACAGTCAATTCACTTTACAGTATATTCTGTGAAGCGCTTTGGGACGTCTAGAAGACGTGAAAAGCGCTATATCAACTGCAAGGATTATTATTATTATTAACATGGTTCCTAGACGCTAACAGCCATCAGGAGACTGAGGTACTGGGAAAGTTACCCATTGGGAGAGTGAGATATCAGGAGATCAAGATATCGGGGAGACTGAGTTAAGGAGAGGGAGATATCAGAGAGCTGTCATCGGGTGGATCTAAAACTTGAATCATAGAACCATAGAAATTTACAGTACCGAAGAAAGCCATTTGACTTTCTTTTTGAAAGAAGAACCCATTCAGTCCTATTTACTCGCCTATTCCGCATACCTATGTAAATTATTTATACAACCATAGAAGTTCATAGAAATGCACAATCAGGCTGTGAATTTGTAAAATAATCAAATTTTCCACCGTGCACTTAAATGGACAATTTCAACTCTGTCAAGAGCAATTTCCACAGTTTCACAAGGCATAGCATGGAAACAGTGAACTAAACCTGGTCAACTAAAGACATCAGTCAACTGAACCTTGTTAATGTTATCAGTCTTACAAAGACAACAGCTAAACTTGACAATCACATGCCGCATTACACCAGCTATTCTGTTTAATCCACTGAAACCTAGGCTCATGAATGAAGAATGGGTGAGATATCAGACACAACTGTACCTCAGCATGAATCAGCGGCTTCAGG